TGAGTTCATTGACATGGGCAGGCAACCTCCAAGCCTAGAAAATGGGAGGAAAGAGGCTGACAAATAACCAAAGGGAAATGATTATTACCAAAAGCATCTTACTAAAATTTTGCCCTAGCCCATGTCTGTAGAGTTATTTAAGATGCCCACTTCTTAGACTCAGAGAGAGGAAGCAAAAAAGCAGGGTTTTTTTTTTTAATAACCAACTCTCAGCGAGACAGATGGGCACACCTTCCAGTTACTTGCCAAGGAGAAGCGACTTAAAAAAAACGTGAACAAATCAGTAGGAATTTACCTGAAGCTTAGCCTTTGAGGGAGGGGGAGAGAGAGAGAGAGAGAGAGAGAGAGAGAGGTTGTAGCCTTGGATTTGAGGGTCCTCTCTGGAGGGGAACATCCTCCTGCGATTTGCTGCGCAGGCCTGGGCTGCCTCCAGGTACCCACCTGATATTTCTGCTTCTGAGCTTGTATCAAGTCCTTCAAATCAGGATTGTCGGTGTGGTCCTAGGAATTTTCCTCCGGCCCAGAAGCTGAGGAGAACAAAGCGGTCAGAGGAAATCCCCTGCTGCAGCCAGAGGGGGAGGCGAGGGAGCAGGCTGCAGGGGTGCGGGGGCCCAGGGAGCCGGGGGCGGGGCGGTGGTGTGTGAATGTGTGTGGTGCGCGCCCCCCCCCCCCCCCACGTCTTTGGAGAGAGACTTCCTTCTAACAGGGACTCCTCTGTTGTTGTGGCTCAGAGCTTCGACTTGAGAAGCATAGTCTCCCAGTGATGCCACTGGATTCCTGATGTGTGACACCCAGGGCAGGCGGCTGAAGGCTGCCGTTGACTGCCTCGGGGCCCCCAGACAGGGATGCCATTGTGAGTCACATTTAGTATGAGAGCTCCCCCTTCCCATGACTGGCACTATTCTTAGCACCATTCTCTGCTCCCTGGGACAAAGGTCACGGGGACCACAGTCTGGTTGGGTGGGTGGATGGGGCTGGGCCCAGGCATGAGAGGAGGTGCAGGAAGGAGGGAGAGGCTTTAGGATTTTGGAATCCTTATCCTTATCCTTTGCCTCATCCTTAGAGCAAGGGCAAGGGATGGAGTCCTTCGGCCCTGGGGGACCTGTACAGAGCAATACAGACACCTCCTCTGGGAGAGCCTGCCACTGGGACGGAGTGCTGGCCCCTTCTGGCGTTTCCACAAGTCCAGGGCCTGAGAAGTTCCTGTGGCCTAGACTTGGGTGTTGCTGGTGAGGCTGACTAGTTAGCGTGCATTCCAGCCCCAGAGCCAGCGCCAGGCTGTGGGCTCCCAGGTGGCCCTGAGTTGCCCTCCCAGACCTGAGGTGAGGGTGACGGATTGTTGTGGAAAGGGACCGCTGGGCTGGACTGCCCACGAGTCCAGTGGAGGAACAGGCCCCCTGGAACCGCATGCTTTCTGGGGGAGGATTCCACATCCTTCCCACTTCTGTTGCTCCCCACACCGAAGGGCCTTCTAGGAGCCGGCACAGAGGGGCCGGGAAGGGCTCTGAGAGGAGTCATGGAGTCCTTTGATTTGGCTCCACAGTGAGGGCTTTCCAAAGGGCGGGCAGAGCCTTGCAGGAAACCCAGGCTGAGGGCACAGTGTGCTCCTCAGCTCTAAGTGGGCTCACGGGGGAGTTTTCTTCAAGAATTGGGGGAAGGAGACTGGAGCTGACATCACCGCTATTTTGACTTTGCTATTGTGAAGCAAAACCAGAGACGTTCCTTCCCCTTCAGTTCCTGCACTTTCTTCAGGCATCTGCTTTTCCTATTAACATGCCCTCCTCCCTTTGGTACAAATAGAAGAAAAAGTTAGAGAGCAGCGTGCTCCATGACCTGGACTCCCAGCTCCCGAATTTCACAGTTCGATGTTCTTTATGAACAAAGGTAAACTCACAACGAGGGGAAACCCTGCTGACGGGGCCTCACCCTGCCCCCCGGCCCTCTACGCGGATGTCCGGGGTCAGACGTCCGGAGCAGGCTGGCACAGGGTGATCGGCCTGTGACGCGGACATCTCAGTTCGGGAAAGGCAGTGGCAGGGAAACCAGGCATAGCCCCTCTGTCTGGGATGCCCTCCTCCAGGGGCTGGCTCCGGGGTCAGGAACGGAAACCCCCTTCTCTGCATTATGGCTGCCCATTCTTAGAGGCTGTGGGTGGTGGGCTAGGTGCTCCTGGGCTCTCTCTCCTGGACCTGCCTGGGTGGAAGCCCGGGGTTTCCTTCCCTTTCCTCGTCTTGCCATCACTAGCCCTCTCCTCCCCACAGGGATTTTAAGATACATAGTGTGAGGGAACTTTTAAGGTAAATAGCGGGAGAGTGCAATAGTGATGCGAACAGCTGCAAGGGGACCTCACTAATTGGGCTGGAAATGTCACCTGTGGAGGTGGACGCCAAGGCCACTAGCTGTCAGAGAGTTGGGAGAACCATGGGCTGTCTCATGTCCTGTGGCTGCCGTGACAGGGGAGGAAGAGAAGACCTCGGATTAGTGTGACCAGGCAGGCAGAGTGGATGTCAGCCCCCAGCTTGGTCTTGCCTGGGGCGATGTGGTATTGAGCTGAGGAATTTGGGGGCCAGACCATGTGGGTTCCAGTCACGGCTACTGCACTTCTAACGTGAGTGGCTTTGGCCGACACCTGGGCACCCAACCGCAGATCAGTTTTCTCTGCTGTTAACATGGTAAGAACAAATGTGCTAACAGTAGCAGCTACCCCATGGAGTTATGTGAGGAGTGAGAAGTGTATAAACAGCAACACAGTATCTGATGCATAGTAAGTGTGCGATAAACCATGGCTTTGCTTTGCCTGGAGTCTGAGAGCGGCTCCTCTCTCTGTCTTGTGTCTGTGGTCTGTGGACCTAACTCAGGAGAGGACTGCAGACTCCAGGGCTCATTTACATACTTTTGGGTAGTGGGTCTGTCTGTTTATCTGTCCATCTGTCCTCGGGGGTCCTGCTGGGTATATAGTCACCGTGTATTTCATCAGGAAACATATTACGTCACGGGAGGTCTTGCAGCTTCTTTTTTTTTTTGCCACCAAAAATTCCATAGCATTTCTTAATAGAGATTTGTTTTCTTATGCCTTCTGCCCAACAGGGTGGCTTTTCAATGGTTTCGTACATAATGCCGCATTTAGTCCCGTGAGCCCAGGCAGGGAGTAGTAGCTGGTGACTTTAAGTCAACTTACAAGAAGTGTGCAAATGTGTCTAAATTGTACACCCAGTGGTTTTTCCACAAGGGGGGAAACAGATGAGGATAAGTCTTCAGTTGTGTGCACTCAGGGCTGTTCCGATGCGAACTGGTTTTGCAGGCATTTGCTGCATTTATTCTAGGGTACCTGAGAGATGGCTTTAAAGAGCTCAAGGTGAGTTTTCAGAAGGGCGAGGCAGTGATATTTCCTTTTCCATAGAGCCGGGGGTGTGCCGCGGGGGCGTGTGGGAGCCACTGCGAGGAAGCGGCTACTGAAGGAGCACTTCCTCAGCTGTGAGATTGCAGTGCACGCCTGGCTCTGCTTCCTCAGAGGCGTCCGTCCAGCTGGCCCCGTGCTTGGAGCCGGAAGGCCTGGACACTAGACCAAGGGCCACCATTTTCTAAAGGTGCTCTGAGCAAAGCCACATGACCTTTCTGGGTTCCTTTTTCGCACCCATAGAATGGAAACAGTGAGACCACTGTGCAGAGGAGCGGGCGGCAGGTTTCAGGAGCAAGCAGTGGGATGCATATGGTGGTGCCCAGTAGATGTGTAAGATGGAGCAAAAGATTACCCTGAAAGGTTATAAAGTTTATTTCTTTTTCAGATGGAGAGAGAACCAGCCTAAAGCTTGTTCCTAATTGAATCTCAGGTCACTTTACATCAGACAAATTTGAAACTCAGGTTAAGGGTTAGAAATGTAAAAAGTCGAGGATTTCTATGTCAGTTAGAGCAACCCAGGCTCCCTTCATGGACACGGCTGGGGGTTTCCCTGCCCTGCTCTGTCTGAGTGGCTTCTGGGACGGTGTCCGAGGCACAGTGCAGACCCATTCCATGCAGCACGGACAGTAGAACTGGAATTTGTCTCTCTGGCTGCACCTGGGAGTCAGACAGGAATCACTGCCTTGCAATGTCATTTCTGAATGGAGAGTTATCCTCAAAGGAAATCTGTATAGCAGGACTCCTTTAGCATATGATAAATGGACTATCAGTATTGTCGGGCCTTCCAGAATTAAGATTTTGGCAGTGTTGGTGGCTAAGACAAGAGAAGTGTGTGTGTGTGTGTGTGTGTGTGTGTGCATGCACGCGCACATGCGCATGTGTAAATTAGAATATACTGAACCCGTAAGACTTGAAGATAGTCATCACCTGACCTCTGAGGATTTCCCAGGGAGCAAGATAATTGCTCACAGTGATGATTCTTTCCTCTCTTTGATTGGGTGCTTGCCTGTAAGTGACCTGGGAGGAAAGGATGGTGGTGGAGAGGAATATTAACACCCAACTAACTCCTTCCATAAGCTTAGGGTAGTGATCTTCTTGCTTGCACATCAGGGGCCAAAGGCTCCTGTATAGAGGCAGGCTTGTGAAGTTTGACTTCTGATGGGAACTGGCAAAGACATTCCTTTTTAATACCTCTATTACACCTGAGTAAATACCTCTATTATTTCTGGAGGCAAAATGACCTTGTTTTTAAAGGCACAAAAGACTATGCTGCCTTAGAATATCTCAGAGGCTAGAGCCCACATTTTCTTTCTAGAGTTTGCTTAGCAATAAAAATGGACCGACCCTTAAGCCAATCAAAGGAAGGCCATTGATTATTGTCCTACGTGGTTTTTCTTTATTCTTGTGGTTGGAACTTCTTCACCTTTTCAGTCTGTGTGAGCTCTAGCACCTCCTCCAGCGTTTGTGCTTTGTGTCGCCTGCCTCCCTTTTCCCCTGGCTAGATGGACAAGAGAGGGAAGAAGGAGTGCTGTACCCTGGGAGTAGTGGCCGCAGGCACTGAGCATCTGGTGTAATGATTCACGATGCCTTGTGTTTCCAGGCAGTGGACCGATCCAGCTGTGGCAGTTTCTTCTGGAATTACTCACGGATAAATCCTGTCAGTCTTTTATCAGCTGGACAGGAGATGGCTGGGAATTCAAGCTTTCTGACCCAGATGAGGTAAGCAGGGAGTGATTCGAGAGTACTGTACTGTGTTAGAGAGAACTCTGGAAGGGGGTTGTGTGAGTCTGATGACATTTTCTAGGATTCCAATCCCAGCTCTGCCATTTGCTACTTGTGTGATCTTGAACAAGTTACATAGCCTTTCTGTGCCTTAATGTCATTATTTGGAAACTAGAGAAAGTATCTATGTTGCCCATTTGTTTTCTAGGATTAACTGAAAGGACGCACATAGGATGTCGGGCACATGTTAGCCCTGAGTAAAGATGAGTTGCCTTCTCTCATTTTGCACTTTTCCTGGCTCCACGGCTCTGTGACTCTGAAAGGGGGCAGACAATTCAAGAGGTCTCGGAAGATTGGTGCAATCTGTTCCATTCGTTCATTCTTTGATCAAATGCTTATTGAGTGGTTGCTCTCTGCCTTGCCCAATTTTGAGGATAAAAAAAAAAAAAAAAACAAAGAGAGGCAACGTCTCTGTTGTGGCAGACATGAGGGGAGGAGAATTGTGTCCAAGAACAGAAAAAATGCTTCTTGTTGATGAGAAGCAAGTGGAATTATAGCTCAGTGCTCCCTCAGTCTCTCACATGAGATTTCACGCTTTCCAAGTAGGGACATGTGCTTAATAATGCAGAAAGAGAAGAGAGTCTATAATGTTTCTTTCCTTTTTTACTTCAACTCCATTATATAGAAGTTCAGGGTTGCTATATTTTCATTAACTTGAAGAATCACCTTTACTGCTGTCTTTACCCAACCCTTGACAAGTAGAGCTCAGAAGAGCTAGGTCGGAAAAAGTGTACCTGAATTTTTTTAACTGGTTTACTTGAACATAAAGGGTCACCATGAATGGGTATAGGCATATAAACATATATATTTGGATTATTTATAGATTTTTTAACCCCCCTCCCATTTTAAAATTTCAGGTGGCCAGGAGATGGGGAAAAAGGAAAAACAAACCTAAGATGAATTACGAGAAACTGAGCCGTGGCCTACGCTACTATTATGACAAAAACATCATCCACAAGACAGCGGGTAAACGCTATGTGTACCGCTTTGTGTGTGACCTGCAGAGCCTCCTGGGGTACACGCCCGAGGAGCTCCACGCAATGCTGGACGTCAAGCCTGACGCCGATGAGTGATGGACCCCAAAGGGACCAGAGAAACTCTGCCAAGACATTGGAAAGAACAACCACGTCTGTTGGACTCTTCATTTTTAATTGTTATTCTATTTTTAATTTTCCAGAACTCGGTTTTTTACATTCAGGGGTGGGAGCTAAGTAAGTTGCAGCTATAACCTATTGTGTGTAGCTGGAAAAGGAGAGCCAGGACTGGTGGGGTGGGTGGGACAAGAAATTCTTGAGCAAATTTTCAGGAGAGAACGTCTTAGAAGCTTGAAGAATCTGGCTTAAGAGTGGATGAGACAAACCTAGTAATTTTTAAAAATCATCCATGATGAAAAAAAAGGTCTCTCGAGTTGTGGACTGATCACCAAAAGAAATTGAGACATCAGGAGTCATGAAACAGATGAGAGGCAATTAATTTGCTTCTGTTTCTGAGTCTGGGGGTGGGCAAAAAAGAGGGAGGTGGGGTAAGTCATTTGTTTGGGGGGGGGTGCACAAAACCCAAGGACTATTTGCCTTTTACTCTATTTTAAAACAAAGATGGACTTCAGAATTTAGTGGGAAAGGCCCAAAACTGTTTTTTTTTGTGTGTGTGTGTTAAAACTTATTTTATTAAATTTTGTGCCAGTATTTTCTTTTTTCTTAAAAATCGTCTTAAGCTCTAAGGTGGTCTCAGTATTGCAATATCATGCAAGTTTGTTTTTATTTGCCAGCTGAAGATTCTGTCACAGTGAAAGAAAACTGTTTATATAGACCCCACTGGAAACGCAAAGTGCTGTCACTGAGCTCGGGGATCCCAAATTCATGTGGCTGTGTAGCTGAAGGGGAAAATAATGTTCATTTGGGTACAAGGGAACTGTGCATATGAATTTCACCTGTAATTTAAAAAAATTTCCATCACGCCCCTGTGCTTATTTGTCATGAGCAGACTCATGGCATTTAGACTTAACGTTGAGCTAGGAAGCATTAAGTCTTGAACCGAATGTATTTGCAGCCCCGGTTTGGGACCACCGTAAATGTTGGAGCACTGTTGACATCATGGAAAAGATATCAAAGGAGGAACTTTGTTCTTTATTGGTTCTTCCCCTGTAACATAGGACTTGGAATAAAAGCTGTGTGCATGGGCATTATCCCTCAGGTCTTGAGAACTAAGTCCTGAATGTGTGTCATTCCAAACTAACATTCTACACTTTCTCATATAGGTCTACTCTTCCCAGCCTCACATAGTTCTTGCTTCCCTCCCACCCTGTTATTCAGTACAGAGAAATGTGCAGCTTTCTGAGTGGGGGTTGAAAGAGTGACAGAGGTCATGACGTGAGCTGAGAGTGTCTGATAAAGCCATTTAGACTCACTGGGTTTTTGGAGCGATGGAAATTAAGGGAGCATTTATCAGTCAAAGGGGGCTTGGCTGTCTTTGTGGGGAGAAATGCAAAGCTTTCCTTTGAAGAGCTTATTAAGCTGGTTGAGTTGGATGTCCGGTGAGACTGAGCATGCAAAGGGAATAGTGCAGCTGCTGGTGGGGTCTTGTTCTTGGGCCTGTTACTGTGGCACAGGGTAAGTGAAGGCAATAATTGCGGAAGAGAGGAATGACTTGAAGGCAAAGGAAACAAGGAAAGGAGCTTGAATGAAGACAATAAGGTGGTCCAGGAGATTTGCATATATTTTTAGTTTCCTCATAATTTAACTACAAACTTAATCAACTGAGGCAGTTGTGATGGGTAATCTAAAAATGGGGTTTTGTGGGGGATGGGACCAACATCTGCTAGTGAGAACAGGTTTCTAATTCAATGAGGCTCCCCCGACTAAAGAGCTGCCTGATTGAAAAAGTAGATAGTGGGACGGCTTTCCAGACTATAGGGAGGAAGATGAAGAAGCGTTTAAGAGGGGTTTCTCAGAACTGGCCTTTCCTGGGCTCTAGCTGAGAAACTGGAAGTACAGTATTAACAACCTTCTAGCATATCTTCAAGAAAGGGTATTGTTTGCTCGCAGGTCGTCTTGCAGACCCTCGTCATCAGGAATTTAGCTCTGTGATTCACGAGTGTCCTCGTACTGAGAAATCAGAGTGTCTACTTGGAAAGCAAAAGCAGAATTAGCCCAGCTGTGTATTTTGGTCTTCCAAATGCAGGTGCCTTAATGAAGCTCTCGAACTATTTTAGGAGCTGCTCAGGGAGTGTTAGGCGGAACTGTTGGACTACGTTGTTTTTTTTCTTAGGTTATGTGATCTTAGTTGGGCACTGACAAAGGTGTGCGTGTGTGCGTGCGTGTGTGTGTGTGTGTGTGTGTGCGCAAAACTGCAGCTGAGATAATACCTGGATTTTCTAGGTACGTCTTTCCACATTTCAGTAACGGGCGAGAGTAGAACCAAGGCTAGGTAGAATCAGTCGTGGCTTGCTGTTTGCAACCAGGCATAAAATCATTTTCTCAACTTATCCACCTTTCCCATTACATTTATGCTGAAAACTCCCCTGGTGTGAGTGTCTAACTCCTGCAATAATTCCATAGCAGCTAAGATATAAGAAAGTGCCTCCTCATGCTCCTCAGCCCGCCTGTCCGCTAAGATGCCTTTCTCTCTAGGTCCACTGTTCTTGGTATTTATAGATAGTTATTAGTTAACAAAGCTTTGTTGATCTGGCCAGATGCTTTTTCTCCTTCTGTCCGAAGGCCAGAGACCATCCCAGGAAGAGTGGCGGGTGGTTTATACACTGGAAATGCAGCAGAACTGTTGCATTTATGCTTTTTAAAAACACGTTAGCTTCAGAGGAAGGATGGGCAAATCTGGTTTAGCTGGGGGAAACCCTTATTTTCCTGAAGATGCCTTAACCCACGTCAGTTTTGGCTGTAGGGTTCAGGGTCACTTTTGTCCCCTTCCCCATTCGGAGGATGGGGGACTTCCCTACGCGGAGCCCTGGTTTTGTGGTGGGGGGGGGACTGGAGGTAGCATTCCAAGATCAGATGTGCTTTTCCTCACTTTGGAGATGAACACTCTGGGTTTTAGAGCATTAACCTGCCTAATCTTCATGATGAAAATGACACCCTCTCTCTTCTAGCCATGCTGTGCATGCTGCTTTCTCTGTTGGGGTCTATATAAATGCGTTAGCTCTTATCTACATTCCAAAGAAGTGTTGAGGAACCATAAATATATGTATACATATACATATATAAAATATATATATTAAAATGAAATTATCTCTATCAGGAATACTGCCTCAGTTATTGAACTTTTTTTAAGAATACTTTTTTTTTAAGCTGAGAAATATAGGGGTAAAAAGATGTTATATTGTGTTCGACTATTTTCCAACTTGTATTTTCATATAATTTATATTTTTTAAAAAGCTGAAAATTTAAAAGCAAGATGAAAAAAAAGAGAAAAGCAGGTGCTTTTTAAAAATCAGAACTGAGGTAGCTTAGAGATGTAGCGATGTAAGTGTCTATGTGTTTTTTTTTTAATGCAAAAAATTTCTTATGGGGAATTTTTGTTTGTTTATTTTAGTAGCTGATGCTGGCACATCATTTTGCTGGAGAGTTTTTTATATACTGTAGCTTGATTTCATATTGTATTTTAAACTGTGTGAAATTAAAAAACAAAGAAATTCATTCATAACGATGTGGATTTGGCTTGATTCTTTCCTGTCTGGTTCATGTATGAAAGTGGGACAAGTGAACCAACAAGAGACAAGCACAGGAAGGGGTGCGACTCACTCTTGCTGATCTCACTAGCTCTGAACCCTTTCAGGTAAAGAGTTCCCAATAAAGGGAGACCTGCAATAAGGATATAGGCAAGTATTACCCTGACCAGTGTGGCTCAGCAGGTTAGGCGTCATCCCACAAAGCAAAAGGTCGCCTGTTGGATTCCCAGCCAGGGCACATGCCAGGTCTTTGGGTTTGGTCCCTGGTTGGGGCATGTACGAGAAGCAACCGATTGATGTTTCTCTCCCTCTCTTTCTCACTTCTTTCTCCTCTCTATAAAAATAAATAAAATAAAAAAAATATAGGCAAGTGTAATCTCACATCTTAATTATTGAATACATGGTGTCATCCTTTGTGAAGTGTTCCTAGCCTTATCACACCTCCTACTCTTCATGTCTGCAAGACTAGAACAACGTGAAGGACATTTTTAATGACTCAGCAGATAAACACCTGATTTCAATGAGGTGAGGTTCCTGATGCTAACACAGGAAGTTAAACTCCTTTTCTGATGCTCTGGACAGGAACGGTATTCGTGTTTCTTCTTCTGATACCAATTTTCGTTGTGCCAAATTGGACCTCTCCCATCCATCTTGACCCCAATTCTTTTGGGAGGACTGGAAGTTGACAACGATAGTGTCCATGAGAATCCTAGCAACTCGTGTCATCAATAAAATCATATTTTGAGTGCTCTGGGGAGGAGCGCTTCAGAGCCCATCCTGTGTGGTGCTTTTCTCGTACTGTTTGTTGAAACTGTAGAAGGTGGATGTTTTTAATTAACACCAACATTTGCAACACGAATCCCATCTCACAGCTGGAAAGAGCATTTTTGCTGAATTGTTCACAAAGAGAGCTCTGTTTGGGGAAAATCTGTTTCTTTAGGTCTGGAGCTTGAGGTTTGCTGAGTGCACGTTAAGCAGCAACTGTGTGGTCTAGTGGTCAGGGAGCCCCGCTGGCCACGAGGAGGGCTCTGGTCCGGCTTCCTGGTCAGGCCACCACCGCTTAGCCAGAGGCTTGGGGAAGATGGCTTGAGGCCCTTTTAGTCTTTAGCTGCAAACCTGAGCTAAGCCATAACTCCTAAGCCAACCTGAGGCCACATCTGCACCCCTCTTCCCCTAAACAAAGGGTATGATCCTCAGTCAAGGGTTTGACAGAGAGCCTTCTTTCGCTGCTGAGTTGCTTTATACCCCAAAGTGTCTGATTTCATGCTGACCAGGTTAAAAGATACAAGACATGCTTGAATGAAATCAGCTTAGATCTCTTGTTTCTCAAACCGGGAGTTTAGCTGGGGAGCTCTCAGACAGCTGGGCTTTGGTGATCTCTTTTAATGATGCAATTGAGACCACTGCTGAAGCAGAGGTTGTGGGAGCTAGGCGAGAGAGTATCCTCTAAAACAACTGCGGGATTTGGGGGAAACTGGGTAGGGTTAGGATAGATGGAGACACAGGGAAAGAGCAGTCATTCAAAAGAAGCTGGTGGTCAAAGATCTCTAGATTTAACAGGCTTGCAGAAAGTTGTGGGACAAGCTAATTGTCCATGCTAGTCTGGCTTGTCCCTGTGGTGGCGTTTGAGCAAGCTGTAGCGCCGTGTTCCCTCCCCCACCGCACCTTCCCCTCCCCACAAAATTGAAAAAGAGAGCTTTCCTGTGTGATGAGGTGTAATGACGAGTGTTTTAACTAAAAACTTGGAGGATTGTGATTTGTGTTTTGAATAAAATGAGGCAGGCAATGGAGAGTAGAGGTTGCACGCTGGCTGGCTGTG